TGTACCTCACTGAATCTAATTGTACCATGCTAATTTCGAATTGTACCATGGTAATTTGATATTTTGATACATTTGTACAATGTGTGCGAATACTCAGTTACAATGCATAAATTAAATCCAATTTAAATTCCACTAATAAAAATAATCATTTCATTTCATATTATTTTCATATTTATTTACGAACAACGAATGAACAATCCAATCCGAACTTGTTTAACAAAAGTTACGTTCATGTTTCATACCTTCCCTTACCGCCTCATGTGCACATGAGGCTAGAAGTTTCAAACCAGAACAACCCCGTGGAGAGGGTGGTCAGAGGGTTCAAACCAACTGTGCCAATTGATAGAGCATCCAAAAATACATCGGGTATGAGAGGGTCCTGGGGTTATTCCACTCCAAAGACCTTAAATCGTGGTTGGAATTTTCACAACCAAAGTATTCTCGAAGGGATGAAGAAGGTCAGAGGCCATGGGGGCAAAAACAATGGAACCGATAAAGCATCGCAAAATACATCGGATATGAGATGGCGTCCAGGGGTCTTGTCACTTCAAAGTACTCAAATCGGGTTCGGGCCAAATTTTTAGCGAGAAAAAATGAAGCCGCCCTGGTTAGATCGGAGAAAAATAATAATGATATCAATCGATTAAGTGTCACCTCCCGAAGAGTTATCTCCATTCCAGAAACCCCAATTTTAAGTCGGTGAAAATAACCCTTCTTGGGAAAGTATGTTCATGTTTGAACACATTGGTACTTGGTGACCGAGTTTTTGGGTGGTCTGGACCCAAGAGTTTCGACTGATTTAACATCATCCAATTTTTGGGCGATTTGGTGTGGAATTGTCGAAATAATAATACAATTAAATTTCATTCAAGACAATTTTATCATCTTGCTGTTTTATATGCAATAAAATTTAAAGGTGGTAATCGGCAAAGGTTCGATGAATCCCGTAAAATGAACAGTTGAGATATGAACGAACGCATTCATCTATCGCACGACCTTGTTGAGACGTGCTCACAAACTTTACTTATTCAATGTAACCTTGTCAATAAACTGAGCAACGGATTAACGTGTAGATAAACAATTGGCCGGGGGCTCAGATCGCAATCAAAACACCGTGCATTTTGAGAATCATTTATCTACATACTATGAAGTATCAAATTAGTAAAATATGCATAGTAAAATATGAAATTTATGTGCCATAATGTGTATGTATTCTGATTACATGAATTTTATTCTAAGACCAATCGTGAATAGTAGTAGTATTTTGATAATAAACAAAAAGAACATCATACACTACTGAATTTGTTAATATATGATTTTTTATTATAAAATTCGATATAATTACGTCCTAAACATTCTATCGAGGTTTTATTTATTAGTGTTTTCAATATCTTTTATGACATTCTATATACTAAAGCAATAATTCGCCCAAAATGCAATTGTACAGTATTGTAAAAAAAGATGCAGGTTTTAATGGTGGTAACACCTTCTCGGTCAATGATCTATACCTTTTCCCCTGCCAAACACTCCACTCATTATGAATCAAATATAAAATAAAATGTCTTACATCCGTAAGATGAACTTTTGGACATCGGAAAAATGGCAGATTCATGTTTCCTCGCACCGAAAACACCCAGAAAACAGTTCGACCGATTCCAATACTTTAACTTACACACTCGGTGTGTGCGGAAAAGTAGGATATGACATATTTGATATATATTAAAGATATGACAATAAGAGAGCAGACGCTAATAATGTGATAAAAACGTGAGTAATATAAAGATTATTGATGAAATTAAAAAAGTTCATTTTCAGTAATAAACTGATGGTGCAACGGTCAATTATACGTACGTTATAAAGAAAAAAGCTTCAATTTAAAAAGTGTATAAAAGCAATGAGCAAATTCTTTACCTTCATTACCATTTCAGATTGAAGAATCTAAAGGTGTTTTTATTCAACTGCTATTTTCATTTTATTCAACTGTTCAATTTCCAATATCGTGATCATTTTTTATTTTTATTTTTTGAATTTAATTGAGTGCTTTAAAAATTCGGAAACTCAGGTAATCTTTTATAACTAAGATTTTAAAAAAATCACAATTGTGTAAGAGATTGGTCTTTTTTTTATTAAAACCCACTATAATTAAGATAAATAGTAGTAAAATTTAATCACTAAAAGTTTAAGGTCTGTTTGTGGTCTTATTATTATTCTAATTTTAAAATGACCTTATTGACCGCAAAAATTGTAATAAAACAACCGAATTTACAATTCAGAAACTTTCATTTATATCGAATGCATTTCGGTGTTCTTCTGAAACACCATCATCAGCGAGTGTCAAATGTACACTAAAAAATATAATTTGAATAAAACATGACATAAATCAGTGAAACAAAACAATTGTACTATATATTGAATTCAAATAGATTACCGTAATTATGAATTCATGAGAAAACTGAATTTGGTATAAGTTTTGCGATACAAATAATGTTTAATAGACATTTCAATGCCTGAATGATATCATAATCATACGAAAATTTGCAGATGTTATTTTTTTCACAAAAAGCTAACATTCCGAAAGTTTGGAGAAATTTCAATACAATTGAGTGGTACCTTCCATAAAAAAATTTCGTTTTTAAGCGAAAAGTCCAAAATTTTTGTTCGATAGGTACCCCTATTATGCATTCAAATCTCTTTAAACCCTCGGAATGTTATTTTTGTGTGAAAAAAATAACATGTGCAAAGTTTCAGCTCATTACGATATCATACAGGCATGGCTTCCATACAAAAATCAATTTTTTTTTTAATTTTTGTATGAAAAGTGTGTCGAAAATGAATTGTATCGCAAAACTAACGTCATATTCGGTTTTCTCATACCCAAAATACCCCCAATAGATATTTTTGAGTGTTTAAGAATACATTAAATATCACTTTTGGAAGAAAAATTGAATTTTTCCCATGGATGGCCATGGGCATCACACCAGACATGACACTTTACTCTTATAACTGCACCGAACATCGTTCCTTCGATTTGGTGGTTTATTTAAAATTATTCAAATAAATATAATTTAATTTTTACATCAAGTAGTTTAGGAAGAGATAGAATTTGTTCTTTTTTATTTTATGTTTACAATTCATCTATTTTGTTTCAAATATTTCTCAATTCTCAGCTTTACCGTTGATAAATTTACTTCTGAATCAATTAAATCAGTATCACAATTTGGCATTTTCTTTGTATTGAATGTAATAAGCATATAATGAATTGGTTCATATTTTGTGTAATCGTTTCCCGTAACTGGAATATTAAAAAACGGTATTGCACGGGTATTATTCGCTGAATTATAATAATTTAAACTATTTGATATATGAGTTGACTTCATATCTCCATGAATAATTTTAAAGATGAAAGACACTTGCGCCATCTTGCGTCTTTCCTCAAGCGTAATCATTTGTAGAAACAGCATTCTATGCCCATATTTTTTTTTTTGCTTTTTTCAGTCTATGCCATCCCAGTTCATTCTCCTTAGGGCATGAAGTAAAAATTGTTTTTGTATTGACTCTATTCTTTTGCACATATTGTCGTAGTGTGGATTCCATATTTCCGATCCAGATTCGATAATTGGTAATACAAATGTGAAATAAAGGCGTTTAATTGTCCATGGATTGATGAAATCCTTGCCGTAGAACTTTAACCAAGCCAGTCTTGCTTTGGCTTTAGCCGTGACATGCTCAATGTGTGACTTGAAATTCATTCGCACATCAAGCAACACTCCCAAGTCCCTTATTATAAAGACTTTTTCGATTTCAATGCCGCCTATGTTGTATTTGTATTCATATTGCAGTAATCCCCGATGATATGATATGATCTTTGTTTTGTTTACATTCAATTTTAATAAATTGCGTCTATAATAATCCGCTACACGATCCAAGTCATTTTGAAGATTAATGCATTCATCTGTTGAGGTGATACATTTTGAAATTTTTGTATTATCAGCGAATGAAAGTATGCATGAATTACTAACAATCACATCTGACTGAAATAATTGACTTTTATAGATTTTACTTGAGACATTCAACAAAGAGCCAGAACTATGCAAAGTAAGATGGAGAAACTTTCTAATGTTAACTTTACGATGACCAATGGTAACGTATATGAGCCACCGCAAGGAGAGATGGAAGAAAAACTAGCTGCAATCTGGAGTGAGCTGCTAGGCATTGAGTGCATCAGTCGGCGCGACAATTTCTTTGCATTGGGCGGTCATTCTCTTCTGATTGTACGAATGCTGACACAATTGCGACAAGCCGGGTTGGACACTTGCTTCGGGAAAGTATTTGGCACGCCCAACTTGGCCGCTCTTGCAAAAACCGTCGTTCACTACAAGACACCCGGTATTCCATCCAATCTGATTACTAAAGACAGCACAATGATTACTCCGGACATGTTGCCACTTATCGATTTAACTCAGCAAGAGATTGATGAATTAGTCGCCCAGGTGCCGGGTGGTATAGCTAATATTCAAGATATCTACGGATTGGCACCGTCACAGCAAGCCATTTTATCCAATCATATAACGGCCAAACATGGCGATCCGTACTTGCTGGTTAATTGTTTAGAATTTATTGACCGATCGGCACTGGAACGTTATGCAGCTGCTTTGCAACACGTTATTGAACGACGCGATATTTTACGCACCGTATTTATATGGAAAGGACTCAGCGAACCCGCACAAGTCGTTTTGCATCGGGTTCCATCGTTACTTGCAGAAGTTTCGCTGGATGATACTGATGAGACAGTGCAAGAAAAATTAAAAAATCGTTTTAGTCCGCGTCACTACCGCCTAGACTTAAGACAAGCACCACCAATGCAACTATTTGTGGCACCAACATCTGAAGGAGGCTGGACGGCAATACAGTTGATGCATCAAATAATTGGTGATCATTCGACCGTACAGAGACTGTATTCAGAAGTCCAGACTATAATCAACGGAGAGAATGAACAGTTGGCAACGCCCACACCATTCCGCCATGTAGTGGCTCAAGCTCGTTTAGGAGTTAGTCAAGCTGAGCACAATCAGTTCTTTAGCGGAATGCTAGCCGATATTGATACGCCGACCTTGGCATTTGGCCTGAACGATATACAACTTGATGGAACTAATATCGATGAAGCGAATCTAAAGATTCCACAAGCACTCAATAATCAGTTACGAATGCATGCACGCCATTTCCGTGTCAGTTTGGCTAGCTTGTGTCATTTGGCTTGGGCACAAGTACTAGCCCACACGAACGGAAACGAAAACATAGTCTTTGGCACTGTGTTACTTCAACAATTTTACTCCGGAAAAGAAAATGACAGTGCCATGGAAATATTGACCAATACGTTACCATTTCGGTTAGATATCGATGACACTGCAGTCGATGATGTTGTGCGCAATGTTCATTCTCGATTGAGTGCTTTACTGACACACGAACACGCATCGCTTGCTTTGGCACAACGTTGTAGTGGAGTTCCTGCTGGTCTACCACTTTTTAATGCTTTACTGAACTACCGCCATAATTTCCAAACTGAGAATATCACTGAACTGTCCGCTAGTGAAGCACAAACAATTCATCCATTAACCATGTCGGTAGACGACAACAAAGAAGCGTTATATCTAACAGCCCAGGTGATGTCGCCAATTTCAGCAGTACGAATATGTGCCTATATGCAACAAGCTCTGATATCGCTGGTCGATGCATTGGCTGATACACCACATCAACCTGTACGGGCATTGACAGTGATGCCATCAGAAGAGCGTGAAATGCTGTTGCATATATGGAACCAAACGAATGTTAATTATCCATCTGATCGCTGCCTTCATCAGTTATTTGAGGCACAAGTGGAACGCGATGGACGAGCAATTGCCGTGAAGTGTGGTGATGAAAGTTTAAGCTATGAAGAACTCAATGTACAGTCTAACCGGCTAGCACATTTTCTGATTGCACAAGGAGTCAAACCAGATGATCCCGTCGCACTTTGCGTTAAGCGCAGTACAAAACTACTCGTTGCCATTTTGGGTATTCTAAAAGCTGGCGGTGCCTATGTGCCTCTTGACCCGGCTTATCCGAGTCAACGGTTGACAAATATTCTGGTGGATGCAGACCCACGGTGTTTGTTGGTAGATTGCATTGGTAAGAAAGCACTTGTAGATCATGAAGTGCCAGTGCTCGATTTGGATGAAGCGTTGCCAGACAATCTTTCGACCTGCAATGCTGACCCAGCCAAACTGGGACTTACTTCGGCACATTTGGTCTATATAGTTTATACCTCCGGAACGACCGGAGTACCAAAAGGGGTATTAGTCGAACATCGGCAAGTAACAAACTATCTTTACTGGTGTAAGGAGACGTTCGCGACTGAAGATTTCCAGCATACATTGTTTTCAACTTCTGTCGGTTTTGATCCATCCGTTTTTCAATCTTTTGCTCCGTTGTCAATGGGAAAGACGACACATATCGTTGCCAATCCACTCGCTATTACAAAAATACCATTGAACTTCTCCCTACTGGACACTGTACCTTCTGTCGTGAATGTAATACTAAATGCGAGCACTCTACCATTTTCACTTCGTACTCTCAGTGTCGTAGGAGAGCCGCTAAACGCACGCCTAATCAATCGTATCTTCACTCACACAAAAATCACAAAATTGTATAACCTCTATGGATCAACTGAATCGACTTATGCAACTTTTCATCTATATAAACCAGGGGATCATGTTTTTGAAACAATAGGGCGTCCTATTTCCAACTCTCGCATTTACCTATTAGACGCACATGGCCAGCTGGTTCCTTTTGGAGCCGAAGGAGAACTTTATATTGGAGGCGCTGTTATAGCTCGCGGCTACTTAAATCGACCGGAACTTACCGCGGAACGTTTTCTTCCGGATCCATTCAGTGAGAATCCATCGGCACAAATGTTCCGTACTGGTGATCGAGCACGCTATCTACCTGATGGCAATTTGGTCTATTTAGGTCGCATAGATCACCAAATGAATATTCGCGGTTTTCGAGTTGAGCCTGGAGAAATTGAGGCGCTCCTCGTTGAACATCCACTGGTGCGTGATGCCATTGTACAAGCATGGACAGACGGTCCTGAAGCCAACGTTCGTCTGATAGCATATGTAGTTGCTGACTCGAATATATCGCTTGCTCAGAATTTAAGAACCTATCTTACTAACATATTGCCTGACTATATGGTGCCGGCAGCTTATGTGTGTCTTTCATCTTTGCCAATCACAGCAAACGGTAAGCTAGATCGTTCAGCCTTGCCGCCTCCTAGCGATGAAGCATTTGCTCGTCAGTCATACGAAGCTCCGCAGGGTGAAATTGAAGAAAAATTAGAGTTAATATGGAGTGAGCTGCTAAGTATTGAACGTATTAGTCGGAACGATAATTTCTTTGAATTGGGCGGACATTCTCTGCTGATTGTACGAATGCTAACACAACTGCGGCAACTCGGATTAGAGGCCACTGTTCAAGAAGTATTTGGTAATCCCTCATTAGCCGCACTAGCTAAGATTATTGGCAAATACCAGAAAATCATTATTCCACCCAATATGATTTCCAAAAATTGCAAGAAGATTACACCAGACATGATGGAAATCTGGTATATCTGGGACGCACTGATCAACAGGTAAAAATACGCAGCTTCCGAATTGAGCCCGGCGAAATTGAGGCCCGTTTAATAGAACATCCTTCGGTGCGCGAGGCGGTTGTACAACCATGGAAGGACGGTCCCGATATTAATACCCGTCTGGTGGCCTTTGTAGTAGCCGATCCAGATGCATCACTAGCTCAAAATCTACGCACTTATCTAGTATCTTTACTTCCTCATTATATGGTTCCAGCAGCTTTTGTTTGTTTATCGTCTTTGCCACTTACGCCAAATGGCAAACTAGATCGGCAAGCACTTCCAGCACCGGACGTTGAAGCATTTGCCCGTCAATTATATGAAGAACCGCGGGGTGAAATGGAAGAAAAACTGGCCGCAATCTGGAGTGAGCTGTTGGGTATTGAGCAAATCAGCCGAAATGATAATTTCTTTGCATTGGGCGGGCATTCTCTCCTAATCGTAAAGATGCTTTCACAGTTGCGACAAATTGAACTGGATACCAACGTTCGGGAAGTATTTGATGCACCCTCATTAGCCGTACTAGCTGAGACTCTGAGCCATTATACGGCAATCAGAACTCCACCCAATCTGATTACCGTCGAAAGCACAGTTATAACTCCAGAAATGTTGCCGCTTATCGATCTGTCTCAGACAGAGATTGATGTGCTGGTCAAACAAATGCCAGGCGGTATAGCTAATATCCAAGATATCTACGGGTTAGCATCATTGCAGCAAGGCATCTTATTTCATCATTTGATGGCCGAACAAGGCGATCCGTACTTAATAATGGGTAATTTACAATTTAATGACCGTGCGACACTTGATAACTACGCAATCGCGCTGCAACAGGTGATTGAACGACATGATATTTTGCGTACTGCCTTCATTTGGGAAGGACTCAGTGAACCAGCACAAGTCGTCTTGCGCCAAGTTCCATCGCTACTCACCGATGTCATGCTGGATGATACTGATGACCATGTTCTAGATCAATTAAATTGCCGATTCAACCCACGTCACTACCGTTTAGATTTAAAACAAGCACCCTTGATGCGTTTATTGGCCGCTCCAACGTCTAAAGGAGATTGGATAGTATTGCAACTGATGCATCACATAATTGGTGACCATACAACACAAGAACGACTGAATATAGAAGTGAAGGCCATTATCGATGGACAGAGTGAGAAGTTGACAACACCCACACCATTCCGCCATCTAGTGGCTCAAGCTCGTCTAGGAGTTAGCCAAGCCGAACATACTAAGTTTTTCGAAGACATGCTTGCTGACGTTGATACACCCACCCTCCCGTTTGGTCTGAGCGACGTTCATGACGATGGAACTAGGATCGATGAAATGCACCTGAAGTTACCACAGGAGCTTAATAATCAATTGCGGGCGCATGCACGTCATTTACATGTTAGCTTGGCGAGCCTTTTCCATTTGGCTTGGGCGCAAGTACTGGCTAAAGCCAGTGGACACAAGACAGTTGTCTTCGGCACCGTACTATTCGGTCGTTTACATTCTGGAGAGAATGACAGTACAATGGGACTATTGATAAACACGCTACCAATTAGGCTGGATATCGATGAGAGAACGGTAGAGAGTGCCGTACGTCATACTCACTCACGTTTGAGTAGCTTACTGGCACACGAACATGCATCTCTTGCGTTGGCACAACGTTGTAGCGGAGTATCAGAACAGTTGTCACTTTTCAATGCACTTTTGAACTATCGTCATAAACAGCCGAGCATGGAAGTCACTACGTCGATTGATGGGGTCACTTTTCTTGGCGCTGAAGGGCGAACAAATTATCCAATAACTTTGTCAGTTGATGATGACAATGAGGCACTGTATTTAACATCCCAAGTGTTCTCACCAATATCAGCGTCGCGGATTTGTAGTTATATGCAACAAGCTCTATTCACACTTGCGGATGCATTAACAAACGCACCAGAGAAACCGGTGCAGACTTTGACAGTGATACCACAAGAAGAACGAGAGATGCTATTGTATAGCTGGAACGAGACAACAGTCAATTATCCACCTGTTTGTTGCCTTCATCAATTATTTGAGGCACAAGTAGAACGCGATGGGCGATCAATTGCCGTGGAGTGTGAGGGAGAAACAATGAACTATGCTGAACTGAACGCACAAGCAAACCAATTGGCACATTACTTGATCGCAAATGGTGTTAAGCCAGATGATCGCATCGCACTTTGCGTTAAACGCAGTACAAAAATGATCATTGCTATATTGGGAATTCTAAAAGCTGGAGCTGCTTATGTACCACTCGATCCTGCTTATTCAAGTCAACGGATTAATTATATGTTGCATGACGCCAATCCATTGTGTGTGTTGACCGATTCTAATGGTCAGAAAGCACTTGGAACTCATCATGTATCAGAGGTGAATTTGGACCAGCCACTACCTGATGGCCTGCTAGAGAATAGTCCAGATCCGGTTAAGTTTGGACTCAATTCTGGGCATCTGGCTTATGTTATCTACACTTCTGGCTCTACCGGAAGACCGAAAGGGGTGATGATCGAGCATCAATCTCTGCTCAATTTAGTTCATAGTCAAATTTCAATTTATGAAATAACTCATAGGAGTCGTCTGTTACAGTTTGCTTCTTGTTCTTTTGATACAAGCATATTGGAAATCTCAATGGCTTTAACAAGTGGAGCCTGCCTTTGCATACCAAACGATGAAGATCGTCAAACAGACACTTTCTTGACTGGATACATGAACGCAGAAAAGATTACCCATGCTCTTTTGCCGCCGGCCTTATTCCAAGACACACAAAATCTAAGTGATTTAACTAATTTGGAAGTGTTGATTTTTGGTGGTGAAACGCCTTCGCTATCATTGCTACAAACTGCCTCAAACCACACTAAAGTTTATAATGGTTATGGTCCAACGGAGACAACCATTGCTGTTACTACTTGGTCATTTTCGGACAATTTTACCTTCCATTCGATACCCATTGGTCGTCCAATAGCCAATACACAGATTTACCTGCTTGATTCACAAGGCGAACCGGTTCCATTGGGTGCCGAGGGAGAGTTGTATATTGCTGGTGTTGGTGTTGCGCGCGGCTACCTCAACCAACCTGAACATACCGCCGAACGGTTCATACCGGATCCATTTAGTGAAAATACAGTGGCACGCATGTATCGCACCGGTGATCAGGCACGCTATTTACCTGATGGCAATCTCGTTTATATGGGACGTACCGACCAACAAATAAAAATTCGCGGCTTCCGAATCGAGCCCAGTGAAATTGAGGCCCGGTTAGTTGAACATCCTTTGGTGCGTAAGGCTGTGGTACAATTATGGAAAAACAAACCAAATACTGATGCCCAACTCGTCGCTTATGTTGTGGCTGATCCCGTAGATCCATCACTAGCTCAAAATCTACGCACTTATCTACTATCTTTACTGCCTGATTATATGGTGCCAGCAGCTTTTGTTTGTTTATCTTCTTTACCAATCACACCCAATGGAAAATTGGATAGGCGTGCATTACCCACTCCAGACGATGAAGCATTCGTCCGTCAATTGTATGAAGCTCCAAATGGTGAGATGGAAGTAAAACTGGCCGCAATTTGGAATGAATTGCTGGGTATTGAGCGAATCAGCCGAAATGACAATTTCTTTGCGTTGGGCGGGCATTCGTTGCTGATTGTACGAATGCTAGCAAAGTTACAGAAAGCCGGAATAGATTCCAGTGTCAAGAAAATATTTGATACACCATCTTTGACTGCACTAGCTAAAACTCTCGTCAAACACCAATCGTTCAGTATTCCAGCCAATCTGATTAATGTAGACACCACAAAGATTACTCCGGATATGTTACCTCTTATCAGCCTATCTCAATCAGAGATTGATTTGCTAGTAGCACAGGTGCCTGGTGGAATATCCAATATTCAAGATATTTATGGGTTAGCACCATTACAAGAAGGCATCTTGTTTCATCATATGATGGCTGAGCGTGGCGATTCGTACTTGTTAGTTAGTCGTCTACATTTTAGTGACCGAGAGGCACTTAAACGTTATGCAGCCGCTTTGCAACAGGCGATTGAACGACACGATATTTATCGGACCGCCTTCATCTGGGAAGGACTCAGTGAACCGGCACAAATTGTTTTGCGTCGAGTTCCTTCGATACTCACCGAGGTCACACTGGATGAAACCAATGAGCCGGTTCTAGAACAATTGAATAACCGATATAATCCACGTCACTACAAACTAGACCTAACCCAAGCACCTTTGCTGCGTGTGTTTGCTGCTCAAACTTCTAAAGGAGATTGGATGGCAGTGATTCTCATGCACCATTTAATTGATGACAATACAACACTAAAAAGGCTGAATGCAGAAATTCATGCCATAATCGACGGAGAGTGTGATCAGTTGACCACACCCACACCATTCCGCCATGTAGTTGCCCAAGCTCGTTTCGGTGTTGGCCAAGCCGAACATACTCAATTCTTCGAAGGTATACTTGCTGACGTTGATACACCGACCCTTCCATTTGGTCTGAGCGACGTTCATGGCAACGGGACCTCGATTGATGAAATGCACCTGAAGTTACCACATGAGCTTAGTAATCAGTTACGGGAGCACGCTCGTCATTTACATGTTAGCTTAGCCAGCCTTTGTCATTTGGCTTGGGCACAAGTACTTGCTAAAGCCAGTGGACACAAGATAGTTGTCTTCGGCACCGTACTATTCGGTCGTCTACATTCCGGAGAGAACGAAAGTACAATGGGACTATTGATAAACACGCTACCAATTAGGCTGGATATCGATGAGAGAACGGTAGAGAGTGCCGTGCGTCATACTCACTCACGTTTGAGTGCATTGCTAGAACATGAACATGCATCGCTTGCGTTGGCACAACGTTGTAGCGGTGTGCCAGCAACTTTGCCACTTTTCAATGCGCTACTAAATTATCGTCATAATCAGCCGAGCATGGAGGTCTCTACGTCGATGCATGGGGTCACATTCCTGGGCGCTGAGGGGCGAACAAATTATCCAATAAACTTGTCAGTTGATGACGACAGCGATGCGCTGGCTCTAACAGCCCAAGTGTTGTCGCCAATATCAGCTGCACGGATTTGTGGTTATATGCAACAGGCGCTTATCTCACTTGCTGATGCATTAGCAAACACACCAGAGAAATCGGTGCGTTCATTAACAGTGATGACACTGGAGGAACGTAAGATGTTGTTGCATAGCTGGAACCAGACGACAATTAATTATTCACCAGTTCGTTGCATTCACGAGTTATTCGAGAAACAAGTAGAACGTGATGGGCGAGCAATTGCCGTGGAATGTGAAGGAGAAGCTTTAAGCTACCAAGAACTCAACAAGCATTCAAATCAACTAGCACACTATCTGATTGCAAGAGGTGTTAGGCCAGATGATTGCATCGCAGTTTGCGTTAAGCGCAGCACAAAAATGCTCGTAGCTCTTTTGGGAATTCTAAAATCCGGTGGCGCCTATGTTCCTCTCGATCCGATCTACTCCAGCCAACGTCTGACACATATTCTACAGGATGCCAAACCATTGTGTCTGCTGGCAGATTCCACTATCCCAAAAGCACTTGGAGTCCATCATCAGGTGCCAATTGTTGATTTGGATGAACCGTTACCTGATGTTTTTTCGTTCAAAAATACAGATCCCGACAAACTAGGACTTACTCTTGCCCATTTGGCTTATGTAATTTACACCTCCGGTTCGACTGGAATTCCGAAAGGAGTGATGGTAGAGCATCAATCTGTTATTAATCTTGGCTGTGCTGTGTCATCACTTTTGGGAGTAACATATACTAGTCGTGTTATGCTCTTTGCTTCCTGTGCATTTGATGCCAGTATGGGCGATATTGTAATGGCTTTAACGAGTGGAGCCCGTCTATGTTTGCCGAATGAAGAGACACGTCAAAAAGATGTTTCTTTGCTTAGTTACATTCGTACTAAAAATATAAGTCATTCAACTATTACGCCAGCACTGTTTGCAAAAACACAAAATCTAGCTGACTTAAGAGGAATGCAGACGCTAAGTTTTGGTGGAGAAACACCATCGTTATCCTTACTAAAAAATGCTACCATTCATACGAACGTTGTTAATGTCTACGGCCCTACCGAGACGACAATCACTGCAACAACTTGGCAGTGTCCTGTGGATTTCTTAAGTTATTCGATACCAATTGGTCGTCCTCTATCAAATACCCAAATTTACTTGCTAGATGCACAAGGAGAGCCAGTGCCATTAGGAGCCGAAGGAGAACTGTATATTGGTGGAGCTGGTGTAGCCCGTGGCTATCTCAATCGACCCGAACTTACCGCAGACCGATTTCTTCCTGATCCATTTAATGAGTATCCAACAGCACGCATGTACCGAACTGGTGATCTGGCACGCTATCTACCTGATGGGAATTTAGTATATTTAGGACGCACTGATCAACAGGTAAAAATCCGTGGTTTCCGAATTGAGCCTGGCGAAATTGAGGCCCGTTTAACGGAGCATCCATTGGTGCGCGAAGCGGTTGTACAGCCATGGAAAAATGGGATTGATACCCGTTTGATAGCCTATGTAGTGGCAGATCCAAATGCGTCACTCGCTAACAATCTACGTACATATTTAGCATCTTTATTGCCTGATTATATGGTGCCGGCAGCTTATGTTTGTCTATCATCATTACCACTCACACCAAATTGCAAGTTAGATAAGCATGCATTACCGTCTCCAGAGGATGAAGCATTCGCGCGTCAATTATATGAATCTCCACAGGGTGAAGTCGAAGAAAAAGTTGCATTGATTTGGAGTGAACTGTTGGGTATTGAGCGAATCAGCCGAAATGACAATTTCTTTGAGTTGGGTGGCCACTCGCTGTTAGTCATGCGTTTCACGAACCTTATCAAAAAGCTTTATGATATAAGCGTCAGTCCTCAGGCAATATTCTCCTTTCCAATACTCAAGGACTTATCAGAAAAAATTACCAATTCTTACGACAATATGTATTCAGATGTTGCTATACCAGCTCGTCGCTATGGTGATCAAGCACCTATATTTCTTCTTCCCAGTGGTGATGGCAATATTTCTTATGGTTTTGAATTTGCACACGAGATTGATAAAAAGGTACCTGTTTATGTGTTACCGTGGTCGCCGCCAGAAAAAGAGCAGCCATCATCCATTGAAGAAATGGCCAATACAATGATTTCGCTAATAAAGAAAGTACAGCCGAATGGCCCTTGCGCTGTAGCTGGTTACTCTTCTGGAGGTATTCTAGCCTATGAAATAGCAAATCAACTCACAAAGAGTGGCTATCCTGTTTCGTTTACGGGTTTAATTGATACGTATCCCCCTTGCGTATCTATTCCATATAATGAAACCGAGATGTTTTTAACCTTTATCGCAAGGAAATTTCCATTTTTCAAATCATTAAATGATACAAAGTGGTGGGAACGAGTCTTGAAATTGTCTCTAAATGAAGCTATCGACGAAGTTAAACAAAAGAATGTTGATTTGAAAAATGAAGATATCGATTGGGAAGTATTGTTATTGAAACAACGAATTCACTACAAAACGATATGCGAATTATACAATATAAATCCAATATCAACTACAGTCAACCTATTTAAGGCAACGGAAATAGGCAGGTCACTTATTGGTAATGAGTACTTGGATAAATGTCTTCAAAAATATAGTAATAGTGCCTTGGAATGTTTTAATTGTCCAAAAAATGGATGGGAAATGTACAATCTTCCAAACTTGCATGTCACTCCTATAAATTGTAATCATACGACAATAATTGCAGATGCGAGAAATCGAAATTTATTGGGAAGACTGGTAACTCAGTCTCTTCTGTCATGTGACACATGTATTAACTGAAACTACCAGAAGGAGAACATCTATAAAATATAATTGTAATTCTAAAAAATGAAAATGTGAAAATATTTTTATTCAATAAATATTGTCATTGTTAATTTATTTAGTGTTTCATAATAAATTATGGTGTTTTATACACCATTGGAAAGGTAATTGAACGTAGAATAAGATAGTATCATCAAATTTGAGATCCATGTATAAGTCAAAAACACTTCTTTCGAAGTTCCCAGTGTGACGCAATACTGTAAATCTAAAAATGGTCTGATATAAATTTTCAGTGACGCGTTCGCTCGAATATGTACAAAATGTTATTATTGCGTCGCCTCTTTCGCCGCTAAAAAATTTGGAAACATAAACTCTTTGTAAAAATACTAAACCGTTCTCCCATTTATTTAAAATTGTATATACTTGCAGCGACTTATTATTTTTTATGGACATATTACAAATAAATAAAATTGAAAATAATTACTTTAGATTAAAAAACAGCAGATTTTTTTTTCAGAGTGAAACATAACTTTTAGACATGTAAATCATTTTGTGTTTGCATTTTAGAGGCGACGCAATAATAACATTTTGTACATATTTGAGTGAACGCGTCACTGAAAATTTATATCAGACCATTTTTATATTTACAGTATCCCAAGTCAGTATAATACTCTATTCGAAGAGTGTACACTGTCTCTTCTCACTCTCTTCGTATAGTTTTATTCGACTCTCTTCTCACTCTCTTCTCACACTCTTCTCACTCTTTTGCATAAAACACGTATATTCAGTTCCCACTCCTTCCTTGTATACTATACATACACAACAACTGTACTGTGTTTGATGCAAAAGAGTGAGAAGAGATTGTACACTCTTTGAAAAGAGTATTATACTGACTTGGGATTGCGTCACACTGGGAACTTCGAAAGAAGTGTTTTTTACTTATATCAATAGTTTTGATAGTATTTTGGCTACCGTTAATATTTTCAAAATGGCAAAAGATGAAGATTTTTGTATAGGAAATGTACCATGTACGCAATGAGAGGATGTGAAGACTTCAAGTCTCTTTGAGCCGACGGTGGCGCACCGAATTTCAAAGGGGACGTCAATGTAATTTTACAACTCAAATCAAAACTAAACAGCGCGCCAATTTTAAAATTTGCTGTCATTTCCTCCCATTGCATGTACGAATTCTACCGCAAAATAAATGTCATATTCGAAAAACCCTCAAATACAAATTGTCTAGGGGGGAGACACAAACGATTAAACCATGATTCCAATATATAAACAGTAATCCTACTATTCCACTAATCCGTTTTAATTGTCAAATATGATGTCACATTTCGCCGCTATTCACTTTGTTGAAAACTTATTTATCGACACTGGAGTATGACATTTTGTTATTGATAATTAAAATTATTTTTTTCATCAATAAAATTTTGAGAAAGTCTATCTATTGTTTTGTAAATTTGTAATCGACTTTTAAACAAAAAATATCTCAAAAAAGAACAAATTACTATCTCAAAACAAGTTCAATGCTTTGATCAAATTCTGTACTATCGATTACAAAAACATTGAATCTAACCCATTTTCGCTATTCCATACATGGGATTAGTGAATCCATGTGAATCCAACTACTGAATTGTCTATTCCACTTTAATTTCTCGAAATTTTACACTAAAAGTCTAATCCTATTCCACGTGTCTACCCCCTAGCAAATTGTCATAGCAATCGAATAAAAACCAATTTTTTCCGAAATATTATTCCAAAAGGAAGGTTTCAAGCCGATTAATCTAAAAAAATTGAAGTAATTTCTCAAAATGGTTACCACGGTTCAATTCCTCGGGTCCGAATTATGTAAAATCAGTTGTCAACGTGAACAAACAAAGTAAAAACCTAGTACATTGCAGTTGATTACTAAGATATTAAAATATAGGTGGCCGCTTAAGTTCACACTTTTACCAATTTTCACCAAATAAAACAATGTTGGTTTTTAAAAACGTGCATATCGGCTCGAAATTGAGTGCGCTTTCAAACTATGATGAAAAAAACCAAGCCAATCATAAATTTTTCGAGATATAGGACGATTAACTTCGATTTTCATCATACTGATCCAACCTTTTACGCTGATTTTTTTTTTCAAAATTTCTTTATTGTCTCATCAAGATGATTGAGGCATTAAGCCTTTCCAATAAGCCAAGAATTGCCGTGATTTTATTGAAAAATACCCGATCTACTGTGATCAAAAATAGCCGAAAAATTGAAAATTGGCCGAAAAATTTTTTTAGCTTCGGGGTGCGATTTTTTTTAAAACGAATTTTCCCAGATATGACACATACGCCAAATCATCACATATTTGGTTCCCAACAAACCCCTAGTTTTTTGATTTTTTTCATAAACAATTTTTTTTTTTTAAATTTGGATTACGTAAAAAAAGTCATGGTCATTTTTCGCCGAAAATGTAACATAACACGCCACCTGGTGGACATTTTTGAAAAAAAATCCATTTTGACTTCGGATCCAGAAAGGTGAGTCTCATACCTTTACAACGACGTATAAACCATTGTTGTACCTTACAAATGGCCATCAGAAAAATGTCCGATTGATGAAAAACTCAAAAACGGCCTCCCAAAAATGTACGACCCTAGACCCGAGAGACATACGAGACGAAATCGAAAATTTCAAAAGCACATGTATTCTCAGTTTTCCATCCACTTTCAATAAAAATTGGTTTCAAAACGTTTTTCAAAAAGTACGGAGAAAAAAACATATCACCCGGCCAATTTTGAGGTTTTTGGCCAATTGACCATATCTCGTCCACTTTTCAACCGATCGTGATGATATTTTTTTTAACATTATCTAGATTTCGAATATGTCAAAAAATGAATTCGAAAAAAACATGTCGGTGGTCAAAAATCGAGAAAAAGGAATTTTCAGCGATTTTTTTAAAATGCCGACTGGCGGCCAAATTTTGAATTTTTTTAATTTTTTTGCGGATTCTTAATTTGTTGCCCGAGCACTACTAAAATACGCAAAAACTTCTTTCCAAAAGTCAGCGGTCTAGATTTTCATGTCTTTAACGTATATATAGAGTGACGCAAAATATACATATTTCATATGTATGTGGGTATTGCGTCACTTGGGGGACTGCCGTCCCCCGTGATTCTCCGAAATGATTTTGGTGACATGAATATGAGAAAACTGACATCTTAAACATCGTTCGAAAAAGGGCCCTTTCAAAAATGTCCATGGAGTCAAAAAAAATAAAACATTCTATAAATCGTTGGAAAGGTATTTAAGAGTAGAATCCGATTATGTAAAAAAAATTGAAAAAATTTCTAAAATATATCCGTGAAGTGGCATAAAACGGCAAAAAAAGAGGAATTTCATACATGTCTCCATTCAAAGGTCACCTGGACAACCTGAATATTATTTTAAAATTCCAAAAACACCTTTATACGTAGGATAGATATGATCATTTTGCATCGGTTATGCATATCGCCGATATGATTCTGAAAAATTCACAAAAAATGAAGCATCCTAACATACAATGATAGACTATGAATTTGTTGAATTGAGACGAGCCGAATTGACTGAATGGGAAGAACTTATGTTATAGTGCGAGGTCCAAGTATTTGAAGGCACTTTGAAGATCGGACGGGAAGTTAGATGAAAATTACCATTTTGTATAATTTACGCTACGTGTTTTCATACTGTTATTACTTACCAGTAAAGTACCCAAAGTGTTACAATTTTTTTTTTACTTTCCTTAGTATAGATCGATGTAAAGTGCCGAGAAAATAGGTTTGTGAAAATAAAGGGTGCCCCTTTTGGGTCTAGGGGGCAGGAGAGCACCCCACCATATCAAAATTTGGTCGGATCAAAAAATAATGTACTACAAAGTTGTTCAGAATGACGAGAGAAAATGGGGTGAATATCCCATTGTGAAGTCACAATGAAATGGGGTATTTTCACTTTTCGCCCCGAATTGAAGGTTCAAGCTAGAAGGAGTAAATTGTAGGTCAAGAGAGATTGACAATGTATGGAGCCTATGGGTAATTTTTTACGAGGAATCCGAATATGTAATTAAATTTTGAGTTAGATGGGGTGGGGTATTGACCCAATTTCGGGGTATTTTTCGAAATTTTCGTGAATTTTGTAGGGGGACCTCCCTTGGGGGTGATTGGAGGGGGTGCCCAACGGCCTAAATGAAATGTGCGGATTAAAGTGCGAAATTCCTCACCCAAAAAGTGCAAAATCGACTTTTCATCATTTTACCCAAATGGGGGGCTCTGAATTGTTAGGGGACTGGGAAAAAAGGGGCACAATATAAACATCATTTCTAGGGTTTTTTGGCATGCTGATTCCGAATTTCGAGGTTTCGGTTGAAAAAAATCATGGGTGAAGGAGTTATTGCCCCCGACCCCCTTGGGGGGTGGGGAGACTTGGAGGGCAGGGGTCCTAAAAAATTTCTCTCGTCATTCTGAACAACTTTGTAGTACATTATTTTTTGATCCGACCAAATTTTGATATGGTGGGGTGCTCTCCTGCCCCCTAGACCCAAAAAGGGCACCCTTTATTTTCACAAACCTATTTTCTCGGCACTTTACATCGATCTGTACTAAGGAAGGTAAAAATTTTTTGTAACACTTTGGGTACTTTACTGGTTAGATACGGTGTTAAGCAAGCGTAATATAAAAGATTTCACGCAAATGGACACAATACAAGTCTAGAAAAAAATTGTATTGAATATCTATCGAAAATATCGATAGGAGAGTATGTTTTTCGGAATTGTAGTACGATAAACGAGAGCATGTTTTTTCATGGTAAAAAATGGTTAAAGGAGAGCACGTATTTCGAGCAATTTAGTCTGTCGTAAAAGGGAGTAAGTTTTTGTTCATTTAAATTTACGAAAAGGAGTGTATGTGATTTGGCTAAATGGGTTGGAAATAAAAGAGAGTATGTTATTGAATTATTCTGGTTGAAATAAAAGTGAGTATGTGCGAAAATAGTTAATATATTTAACATTTTTCGATCCCATTGTAACAGGCGCGCAGAATCAGCAACAATAAATCTCTTCGTATATAAATACACAATCCTACTTCACAATAGCACGTAAAGGGCAACGGGTGAGTGAAGCGAACGGAGTCTGTGTTGTCGTCACAGGCGCACATAAACAACTATACGTATCAAACACGAATGAACATGATCCATGCGCTTGATTTGTTCGTTTATGTGTAAATTGACTCACGCAACTGTGTAGCTGCTTCTGCGCGCCTATTACATGCGAATGATATTTTCATCCAAAAATATTAATTAATTTAACTACTTTCATACTTTTTTTTTCAAATGTGAGTTGACAAATACTAACTCTTCTTTATTATGAACAAATTCAGTTAAATTACATACTCCCCTTTTGCTAAATTCATATGGCCAACAACTTACTCTCTTTTAAGCCAATCTTAATACGTCAAACTACATACTCTCTTTTATAAATTTTTAAATGTGATGCGACTTACTCCCCTTTTGCTATTAACATAATGGACAAAAGACATACTCTCGTTTTGAAATATTTTCAGCTAAAAAATGACATACTCTTTTCTCGATATTTTCGATAGATATACATTGCCGCAAATATTTTACAGCGGATACTGCCAATGAGAACTACATTTGGTGATAGATAAGTGCTTTTGATCTGTAAGATACAACTTGTATCATACAAGTAGTTCTATGTACGGACATACAGTTACATTGGAATCTATTGGGAAATATGCATGTTTCTGGACTAGTCCCACCATGATTATTGTAATTTAGCCATAGTCATCAAGAATAAGTGGTTTCGTAAGACGTACGATCGCTTTATCAAATCAAAACAAGATTTGTGTTGTTAAATTGAGATCATTTAAATGCGCAATTTTGCTATTTCATATCGTTTTCTTAACACTTCCAGTTAAAATACCGATTTAAACGTCCATGACTCGTTCAACGACTCGTTGTTGTTTTAAAATTAAGTTCTTTTTACAAAAATCTGATTATGTCCAACCAAATTTATTGTAATGATGTGTTAAAAGGTGAATAAATGTAAAGAAATGGCGCAAATCACTTAATTTAATCATTTAATAGACATATTATTTGTTTTTCATTCGCAAATATTTATGAGTACATTGAAAAAGATCATTTATAAAATGAATGTATTATATCTCTGTTTTTTATGTGTTTCTTTTGCGTGGATTAATTCAATACAAGCGAATATGCATCTCAAAACGTAAGTATCTCTTAATGAATGGTACTTATCTCGACGCTAATCTAATCTATGACGTCTCAATCTCGTAATCGTGATTTAAAAAAAACACTGCGTTCGTTGCCATGTAGTCGCCGTTTCCAAATGAACAATAGAAGAAGTGATTGTAAACACTTCAAAAGTGGATAAACTAATATTAGTTTCTGTATAGTTTGACGGAGATTCTTCAAAAACTAAATATGAATGGTTCGACCGACTTTACAATTAGTGTGAGGGAAAATGCAATAAATCATCAAATAGTAAATATTTCAAACGAACAACACTTATCGGCGATTTTCAAGTTGAATATTGACTGTTTCAATGCGGTCTTCGATTGGTTACCACTCAACGACTTGGTTGCAATTGGCGAAACGTGCAAGCATTTGCAGCAAATAGCCGGTGACTTTTATCAACGGAACTATGGCGCTAAGGTTACACGTGAAAGTAATGGCATCTACATCGCGGAATTGCGATCAAACATCTTCAGTGAATACATCAAGAAAATATCGATTTCGGGTGATCGTTTGAGTGCATATCAGTTCGTCCGTGCAAATTGTACGAATTCGATTAAACATTTTCGAGTTCATAGTGCGTTGCCGGTTGGAGGATTTGAGTGTGTCAATGAAATATTGAAAAGTGTTGAAATCCTGGAAATGAATGAATGCATTGTGAATGGGGAATTTTACGATTGTTGTTTGAAATATTGTCCCAATTTAAAAACAATCAGTGTAACAAGGTCGGATCGAATTCGAAACAAATCGATTATCATTGGTGCCGACAATGAATGGCTGCTACGATGTTACCCCAACCTTGTAGATTTTGAATTGACCGATTGTTACGGACTCGAAAAGAATGAGTTAAAATGGTTTTTCGAGTACAATTCGCACATTCGTACATTTTCAGCTGACTCACGAACATTGTGGGAGAATCGTCATGCAATTTTGGAATCAAACATTAAACTCGAAACCATAACGGTGGACATTTATCAAAATAAGATGGTCGATGAGAGGAATCAACCGATTTCGATGGTAGATTGCATGTATTACTTACTAAATAAGCTTCATCAAAGAAAATTCTACAAACGTTTACATTTGTATGTGATTTTCGTTGATCAAGAGAACATCGAAAAGCTATTATCGCTCAACGGAATCGAAATGATAAATGGAAGTATTCGACGAATCGATCGACCATTGCATGATTTAAAAGCGTTATGTGTTTGGTGTGATCAAACATTAAATATCGATAATTTACCGAATCTCGAACGAATTTACTTTTTAGATATGACAGTGGATCTGCTTTGGACAGTTGTTTCCGATTGGCCGAAATTGAAAGAAATTCGAATTGCAAAACTTCAGCAGGGACATTTTAATAGGAAATTAGATTTGAAAGCATTGAATAAAAAACGCAGAAGATTGGTCGGAGCGCGAAAAATCATGATTTTTTTGAAAGAAGACGAGTATTTGGCAACAAAATGGACAACCAAAACCAACGATATTACTATGATTGAATTAAAACGACTTGAGTCATCGGAATGGGAGGAGCTGTGTGCGAGGGGCAAATATCACAGATCACTTTGAAATCTAATCATATACTGTAGACTAGGGTGGAACATTTTTTTGAATTTCGAGGCATATCTTGATGAAACATGTCTTATAGTCACCAGATTCAAGATATGAAGGAATTTTCAACTTGCGGTTCCATATAAGACAGCGACTTGAAAGGAAAGGAGGTACATTTTACTGGAAAATCATGAAAAATTGCAATGACCCATTCACCATGAAAACTTGTGAATCTTATTTTCTGACCAAAATAAGTAATATCACCAAGTTTGATTAAATTTCTACCAAAAATAAAGGTGCCTCTCATTTAAAAATTTATTTATTTAATTACAAAAATTTATTTTTTTCTCAAAAACAAAAAATTGAAAATTTTGTATGGGATATATGTCGTTACGATATCATTAATTCCATACAAAAATTCCCATTTTTAATCATTTTTGTATGGAAATTGAGTCGAAAATTATTTGTATCGTAAAACTAATGTCAGATTCAGTTTTCTCGTGAATTCAAATTTGAGTAAAAGATATGTAATAAATCCATGTTGTGGATCACAGTACGGAAAAGTTCATCTTAAGACATCTTAAATCTTTGAAAATTGTATTGATTTTTTCAAAATAAAAATATCTGCATTTTTGGCTGAAAACAGTTTTCAAGGGAATGGCACGTATATGAGAGACATGGCGACGTGCCAAACCGTAACGCCATCTATCGGATAGAATCTGAATTACAAATTTCGTATTGACTATCTCATATTTGTGTAATTTTGTTCATAGAATTATAAGGTTTATTCCGATAAATTTGTAAGGTTTTTGTTCGCCAACATTTTACATAGCATGCCATACCCTTGACAGTTTTATTCATTTTCAATTTTGTATTTTTTATGTATAAATGTATGTTTTATGTGATAGAAAGGTAGAAAGTAACAACATGTGATTTAAAGTAAATAAGAGAGTTTGATTGTCATGTAATGACAAGCTCCACTGACTTGTGTGTTTTGCAAATGTAATACAAAATATATCGGTTACTCTGATCAAAAAGTATATGTGAATTCAAGCTACTCATGACTGTGTCTTACTATCATAGTCAAACTCTATAGATATGGCTATGGTTTTTTGAAATATGTGATCATTTGACTTATCTCCAATAAAGTTTTAAAAAACATATTTTTGCATGATTATGTTTTTGCAGTCAAGACTCTCATTTAATTTGGTGTTGGTGGTGGTAGGTTCATTACGGTACAAACCCATCCAGCAACGTCTATCGGTTGGTTCTCATATTTCTTGATCCAGGGATGTTTCTGTAAAAGAGTAAAAAAAAACATTTAGATAATTGTATCTCAATGAAACGAAAAGGTTTAAATTCACTGAAAAGCCAAATGAATGACTTACCAAAAGCGTTGCAAGATTAGCACGTTCATTTGGATCCTTTTGCAAGCAACTTTCGGTGAAATGACTGAATTCGTTGCTAAAATATTCGTGCTGTAATCTTGGTGGCGGTTGATTGCTAACGTATTCAAGAAGATCAAAAATGGCCATCTTCGGTTGCGGTGGTGGTTTATCGTCCTTCAGAATTTCATCGATAAATTGTCGAGTTGGTGGTGGTATCGGATAAACACCAATCGCCATTTCAATGAGTGACACACCCAATGACCAAATATCGGACTGCACCGAATAATGATCACCCAACAATCGCTCAGGCTGCAAACAGAGTAAAAACAAATTGAATTAATTTCTCAAATAAATGTCGAAACCATCTGAAAATAGTTAACTTACCGCCATGTAACTCCGTGTGCCGACAAAAGTATTTGCCATCGAGTCGATCAATTGTCCAGATACGCCAAAGTCACAAAGTTTAATTTCACCGCAGCTATTAACCAGAATGTTGCTGGGTTTTACATCTCTGTGCATGATTGCATGTTTATCGCGTAAATAGCTCAATCCTTTGAGCACAGCAAGTGTAATTTTTCCCAAAATTGGTTCGGGAATGCGTACAACTCGTTTTAAAATAAAATCCAATGAACCACCGTCCATGTATTCCATGCAAATACTGATTTCACCATCAACTTGAAATGCATTGTGAAATCCAACAATATGCGGATAATTGCAGTGATTTAACACTTGCAATTCGCGAAGAATTTGTTTTCTAATCGTTGGCTTAATTTCCAAATGAATGTTTTTTTGTGCCATTATCAACTGCGTTGGGATGTGACGCACTTTCATCACCGAACCCCCATTTCCCGCACCAAGTTCGCCAATTTTTTCCAAATCATCTGCACGAATTTCGCCGATTTCTTCGCGTTGCTTCAAGAATAATTTCAAACGATTTTGAGCGTACTCGTCCACATCGAGCTCTTCGAATAATTGCGTCATCGAATCAACACTGTTCTTCGACTGGTTTAGCAAACTCGAACTGGAAAGAACAAAAAATTAGTATAAAAAAATCAAGGAAATTCAGGTGTTTGTTTACTTACTCTGCGTCCGATGATGTTTCAAATGGTGGTGGTGAAGTGTCCATCGGTTTTGATATGTTTATCGAAGCCGATGGCAACGATAAGTTAAATTTATTCTTTGGCACAATCTTTGGGGTCGACTCGTACATTGGAGGAGCATACTGTGCATTCGGTGAAATTATTGGAGCCGATGGCAATGTTAAATTCGGTTTATTTTTGGGCATTGTGTTTGGTCGCATTGGGAATGTTCTCGGCGGAATATCCAACGGATTTGGTGCATTAATCGAAGTTGACGATAATGATGGTAGTGTTAAATTTGACGCTCTTCCATAATCTCTTCCATATGTTTGCATTGATGGTCTCTCGAACATTTCAATGGTTGCTCTGTCTAATGGTTTCGGCGTCACGTTCATAGGTTTTGGAGCAATCACTGGAACCGTATTAAATTGATTCCTGATGGGTAGCCTTTTAAATGATCGGGGTGGAATAACTGGTGAATTAATCGAAGTTGATGAACCAGGTGAATTGAACTGGTTTTTCAACGCATTTGATCGCCCATACATGTCCATTGATGGCTTCTCGTACATTAAAGTTTGATTTTCTCTCGTTGATCTTTCCAATGGCTTCGGCGGAATATTCATCGGCTTCGGAACCGAAAGACCAAAGTTATTCTTCGACATTATGCCGGGCGGTGTTTGGAATGATCGCGATTGAATTTCCATGGGCTCGGGCGAATAGGCACTTGCCGGCGTTGGCATGCTTGAATTAAACTGGTGTTTTGCATTCATCACATTCGGCGCTGGTTCGAACGATTCCAAATCACCAACAATGGATGGATATTCATTAGAGCTGTATTTATTGATCGGTACTTGTGGCCGCGATGGAATGGTCAAAGGTGTTTCCATCGACATCGTTGAAACCGATGTTGGTATAGTCAAATTAAATTTATTCTTCGACATTTTAAGTAAATTTTTCTTTTTTCTGCGCGTTTCACTAACTTTCAAATGTACTTTATGGATTTTTTTTTCACTTTCTAGTCTTTAATTTACTCTGCGCTTAAAATGTTCTTGTTTTGTCAAAAATTTAAAACTGAATGATAATAAACGGCAAAATACTTCTATTTATAACCGGGACGCTGTACGCTCTAATTAGGTGGCTCATGTATTTGTGTGTTAACCGTATACCTGAGCATGTATGTGTAGGTGTCCAAATGATTTGTTTGTGAAGCAAATGTGTTAAAACTGACACAATGTATTTTTAATGACCAATTTGATAGAAGCGTAGACGCACTCTGTCAGGAACTTTTTCACAATTTGGAGAGTTTTGTGCTTAAAAAACACATTCAAAATGTAAAAAATGGCGTTAAAATCATTAAAATAGATACTTAGTTTTGTTTTAAATATTTTGTTTAATTTTACGAGGTTTTGATGCTTAACATCCAGCGATACAAATTGATATTGATTTTGGATGTTTTCAGATCTGAAATTGTAAAGAGAAATATGAATTAGAACGAATATCAAGTAATTCTTTTAAATAGAGACATTTACATACTATTAAACTAACTTTTCCGTATCGTTACAGAAACTATGGATGAAAAATATTTTTGAGGTGATTTTATATTTTTAGTCTTATAAAATTCATTCTACACAGATGTGATTCCGCAACATGCGGACCGCAAGTAAAAAAAAGCATGAATATATCTGTATGCCCGAAAAAAAATTAAACAAGAAAAGAAAAAAGATGCTCAACAGCTAGATCATTTTTTATCTTAAACATGTACCGATTTTATTACATTTCTTTTAATTTTATAGCAATATTGCTATTGTTATATTGAAAATATATTTAAATTTTAAATTATTCGATTATAATTCATTTTGATGGAACTTTGATCGCACTCAAATTGAATGAACATCTTACATTTACATTAATGCCATTTCTGTCAGTATGTATTCTCATATGTTTTTAAAGTGTTACAAATATCTTCTGATTTTGACTCACACTGAGGTCTTTTGAACTCCTTCCCATATGCTTCTTTCGATACTTTGAAATCAAAATCCACGGTGGCGTCGTTAATAGTAGAACTGGATATCTTTATGACAAATTATGAGTCCTCATATGCACATTGAGATTACTCCTATGGTTAAATCGCATCTTACACCGACCACATTGATATGGTTTTTCTCCAGTAAGTATTCTCATATGAAGTTCAAGATGATTCTTACGAAGCGTAACAAACTTTTTTTTTATTTTCATCCCTATTGCAAAGATAGCACTCATATCGACGTCGTTTACACTCTCTTTCATGTGATTCTTTTTCAATGTTTTGTGTAAATCCTAGGTGACAACCTGAACAGTGAAACAGACTATCTTCATGAGTCCTCTTATGCACATTGAGATTACTCCTATTGTTAAATCGCTTCTTACAATGATCACATTTAAATGGTTTTTCTCCGGTGTGAATTCGAATATGCACAGTGAGACTATTCTTACGACTAAATCGCATCTTACACTGATAAACCCGGTATTACGACTGACATTTTTAGTCCGAATTCTATGACAACGCCATCTCTTGTTCCCCATCTGTATAAAGTATATATGACATTACAGCGGTTCTATCAGTTCAATGTTGGGCCGAATAATAGCTGTCATTTTCTTGTTTACATTTTGCAAATTTGAAATTTGTCGTACCTGTTTTGTGTAACATGCTCTTTTTTAAGAAGAATTAGAATGAATATTTGCATATACATCCAAAATGTATATTTTTGTGCATTTCATCACAAATATTTAAAATATTTGTATATTTCTAAATAAATATTGTAGTAAATTGAAGTGAAATTTTCAGCAAAGAAACACCTATATACATGTAACCAAAGATGGCGTTCGCGATTAAGATTCCACTGACGTTTTCATATAAATATGCTTACGCAATCCCCGGTTAACACTGATCACATTTATACGGTTTCGCTCCAGTATGTATTCTCATATGTTGTCCTATTCTCAAAGTAGTACACAGTAACAAACTTCTTCTTATTTTCATCCCTGTTACAAAGATAGCACTCATACCGACGTCGCTTACACTCTCTTTCATGTGCTTCTCTTTCAATATTTTGTGTAAATCCAAGGTGACAACCTGAACAGTGGAACAGACTATCTTTATGAGTCCTCTCATGCACATTGAGATTACTCCTATTGTTAAATCGCTTCTTACATTTATCACATTGTTATGGTTTTTCTCCGGTGTGAATTCGAATATGCACAGTGAGATGCTTCTTACGACCAAATCGCTTCTTACATCGACCACATTCGTATGGTTTTTCTTCACTGTGAGTTCTCCTAATACTAGATATTTTCGAGTTTTTTTCTAACTTTTTGTGGGATCTCTGAACGTCCTTTTTCTTTTTCTTTGTTTGACCACCGATTCTTCTATTGGATTTTCCTTTGTTTCCATTACTTTTATTTTTTTGAGAAAACCACTTCTCAAGTGTCGACTGACCACTTCTCACATTTCCAGCTACATTAACTTCAACAATAGCTTCAGAAATGTTCACTTCGTTCTTCTCGTTTGCGTTCTTCTTCACTGATTTTGCGGCCTGCATATTTCGATTCAACTCTTCCCTGAGATACTCCTGATTTCTTCCCGTATGGCTCACATACATTTGTCTTGCTGTTCGCATCAATTTTATCTAAGATATTCATAGAATTCGATCGTGCACGCTTCGCTCCATCTTCAATGTTTTCTTTGTTATGATCTTCGTCACTTTCGATTTTGACACGTTCAGAGCAGTTTGACTCTATCTTATATGCACGCGTCAGTTGATTAGCCGGAAAACGAACTATCGGAATCTCATCATTTTCCACTTCTTTTTCTTTTATTTCCATATTGGATATCTCCCCGACAGAAGCTTGATCATTGTTCTCATCATTATCATCCTCGGTTTTAATCTCACGATCAACATTTTGAAACGCAGTTTCTCTGAATGATTGCGAACTGGTGCTAGGTCTTTCATCCGAATCTTCATCATTGCTGATTTCAATAATTGCATTTGAGTTGTTATTATCGGTAGACATTGGAGCGACACTTCTAACTTGACGATCACTGAACGACGATTCACATTCAAATTTGAAATAAATTTCATTTAATTTAAAGAAAAAGAGTACTTATCATTAATAAAGGGCATGAAATACAAAATTCAAGGATGAATTACCTATCAGTTGAACGCTTTGGAGAATATTTCTGATGTGCTTCGTGGAACGATTGACCTGATTGTTCGAAACATTTATTAATATTTTGTAGCGAAGACATCGCCTGGCGTTCAATGTTCGTCAACATTTTTTCCAGCTCTTGCATCCAATCATCGGTGGACATTTTCTAAGAATTTCTTATGATATGATTCTCGGCGACAAGTTCAAACAATTTAATATAGGGCACAAATTGCAAAAAATTAACAAAATACATAAAATAACTAAATA